GGTGAATGAAACCTATGAAATGAAAAAAAAAACAACCTACTGGAGAAGATATTTTAAAATGATACTTCTTATAAAGGGTTAATATCCCAAATATACAAGTAACTCATACAACTTAACACACACATACACACAAACAACAAGCAATCCAATTTTAAAAACGGGTAGAGGACCTGAATAGACATTTTTCCAGAGAACATATACATGGCCAACAGACATATCAAAAGATGCTCAACATCACTAATCATCAGGAAAATGTAAATTAAAATCACAACGAGATACTACCTCACACCTATCAGAATGGTTATCATCAATAAATCAACAAATAACAAATGCTTGTAAGAATGTGAAGAAAAGGGAACCCTTGTACACTATTGGTGATTCCTGCCACCAGTATGAAAAGCACTATGGAGTTTCCTCAAAAAATGTAAAAAATAGAGCTGCTTTATGATCTAGTAATTCTATTTCTAGGTATTTATGAAGAAAACAAAAACACTAATTGGAAAAGATATATGCACCCTTATGTTCATTGCAGCATTACTAGTAATAGGCCAAGATATAGAAGTAACCTAGATGTCCATCAATAGATGAATGGGTAAAGAAGATGTGGTACATATATTCAATGGAATATTATTCAGTAATAATAAAAAGAAATATTGCCATTTGCAACAACATGAATGAACCCATAGAGTATATAATGGAATATAGTTCAGCAATAAAAAAGAATGGAATTTTGCCATTGGAATCATGCCATTTGGGACAACATGGATGTACTTAACTGGTATTATGCTATGTGAAATAAGTCAAAGAAAGACAAATACCATATGGTCTTGCTTATATGTGAAATCTAAAAAACTAAAACAAATGAATAAATTAAACAAAATAGAAACATGCCCATAGATACAGAGAACAAGCTGGTTGCTACCAAAGGGGAAGAGAGTAGGAGACTGGAAATATTTTTTAAAGTCCCTACTACATGAAGCCACCTATAGAGTCAATGCAGTCCTAGTCAAAATACCAATAACATTCTTCAAAGAAATAGCATGTGTATGGGACCACAAAAGACTCCAAATAGCCAAAGCAATCTTGAGCAAAAAGAATAAAACTAGAGATATCACACTTCCTGATTTCAAACTATACTATCAGGCTACAGTAATAAAACGGTATGGTATTGGCACAAAATAGACAAATAGACCAATAGAACAGAATAAAGAACCCAGAATTACCCCCTGCTTATACAGTTAATATTTTACAAGGGGAGCCAAGAATATCCAATAGGGGAAGTATAGTGTCTTCAACAAATGATATTGGAAACAATGGACAACTATATGCAGAGTGATGAAAACGTTATCCTACACCACACACAAAAATTAATTGGAAATGGATCACAGATTTAAACATAAGTCCTGATAGTATGAAATTCCTAGAAGAAAATTTAGGAAAGAAGATCCTTGACATTGGTATTGGCAATGATTTTTTGGATATGACACCAAAAGGAAAAATAACAAAAGCAAAAATCAAAAAATGGGACTACATCAAACTTAAAAAGCTTTTGCATGGCAAAATAATCAACAAAATCAAAATATAACCTACAGAATAAGAGAAAAATTTCACAAACTACATATCAAATAAGGGGTTAATATGCAGAAAATATAAAGAACTCATTCAACTCAACAACAAAAAGAACATTCAGATTAAAAGATTGGCAGAAGATGCAAATAGACATTTTTCCAAAGAAGAAATACACATGGCCAACAGCTACATGAAAAGGTACTCAACACCACTAATCATCAGGGAAATCCAAATTAAAACTGCATGGAGATACCACCTCACACCTGCCAGAATGGCTATAAAGAAGGAAAGAAATGAGTGGGGAAGATGTGGAGAAAAAGGAACATTTATGCACTGTTGGTGGAGATGTAAATTGGTACAACCACTGTAGAAAGTAGTATGGTGGTTCTGCAAAAAATTGAAAGTAGAACTACCATATGATCCAACAATTCCTCTTCTGAATATTTATCCAAAGAAAACAAAAACAGCAATTTGAAAATATGTCTGTACTCCCATGTTTACTGCAGCATTACTTACAATAGCCAAGACCTGAAAATAACCTAAGCGTCCATCGTAAATGAAAGAATCAAGAAAACATGGTCTATATATAATGGAATATTATTCAGCCACAAAAAAGAATAAAACCTTGCCATTTGAGACAACATGGATGGACCTTTGAAGGTATTATGCTAAGTGAAATAAGTCAGAGGACTATTGTAAATACCATATGATCTCACTTATATGTGGAATCTAAAACAAAAAAAAAACAAGCTCATAAATACAGATAACAGATTGGTGGGGTTACAGGGAGGGGGTGCAGGGTAGAGAAGAGGTGAAGGGTAGGAGGTGGTGAAATAGGTGAAGGGCTCAAAAGGTACAATCTTCCAGTTATAAAAATATATAAATCCTGGGCACATAATTGTACAGCATGGTAAATATAATTAACAATACTGTTTGCATATTTAAAAGTTGCAAGGAAAGTATACCTTAATTCTTCATAAAAAGAAAAAATTGCTTCTTTTTGGCCAGAACTGTCATATTCCAGTAATTCACCAAAATGACTAACACCAAGGGAAAGAGGAGAGACATCCACTATATATGTTCTCTAGCTCTTTTAGAAAACATGGAGCTGTTCCTTTGGCCACATACATGCAAATCTATAAGAAAGATGATATTGTAGACATCGAGGGAATGGGCACTGTTCAAAATGGAATGCCCCAAAAATTTTGCCATGGCAAAACCGAAAAGTCTACAATGTCACCCAGCATGAGGTAGACGTTATTGTGAAAAAACAAAGGCAAGATTCTTGTCAAGAGAATTTATGTATGTATTGAGAATATGAAGCACTCTAAGAGCCCTGAAACAAGTGAAGGAAAATGATGAGAAAAAGAAGGAAGGCAAAGAGAAAAGAACCTGGGTTGAAATGAAGCACCAACCTGTTCTACTCAGGGAAGCACACTTTGTGAGAACCCATGGAAAGGAGCCTGAGCTTCTGGAGCCCATTCTCTATGAATTCATGGCATGATAAATTTAAAAAATAAAATAAAATAAAAGACTTCTGTACTGATTTAAAAAAAGAACGAAATTATGACTATGTACGGTGATGATGTTAACTGAATTTATTGTGGTCAAATCATTATGTTGTACGTACTAAACTAATATACTGTTATATGCTGTAGATGATAAGGGGCCACATACCAAACCTGACAAACCTTGGCGGGGAGCGAGGGGCGCCTGTATAGCGGCCTTATTAACCACAACCTAAAGTAACTGCAAAAGGACGATCTGAAATTAAAACTTATTAACCAAAAGCAATTTATGGCAGGTAGTCATGTCCTAGGCTAGAAACTTCCCTGAAAAAAAGGCAATCTTTACCTTAATTAAGCCTGTCTATTGTCCTTTTGCATCTATGATAATATACCTTTGGAATGTCAAAGTAATTTCCTTTTTCCAAACCCCTCAAAGCACAGATACCACACCAAAGCACCAAAGTGGAAATTACAAATCCCCTCATTGTTATTAATTGTTGATTGCTAACTATCCTGTATCCACTTATGTAAAAAAAAAGAAAAAGCATGTGTTTCTATCATTTTGCTTTTTATACAATCCCAGAAATTTACCCACCTCCCTAATCTATCACCAATGGATTTGATGTAACCACTTATGTCCTCTCTTTCAACTGTGATGTATAAAGCAGGGTGCAGAACTGCCATTCTCTGGAACATCTTCTCAATCCTTTGAGGTTTTGCTTCCTGGCAAATGTCAGTTTGGCTCAAATGAACTCATTTTAAAAATTCATACAGGTTTGGACGTTTCTTACATTGACAGTGTCAATTATACCTCAATAAAAAACAACATTTTTTAAATACTCTCAATATTGAACCCAAAAGAGGTTTTATTAGCTTCAAGGGATAAAAAGAATGGAATACAGCACCTAAGCCACGCATCAACTGCAGCAGGAGGTCTTGCAACATCTCTAGTGCACTTTCAAGGCATTTTCACCCAATCATCAGGTGCCTTAGTTATAAAAATTGAAGTTGAAATGGGAAGTTCCCCTACATTCCTAATATATATTTTATTCTTTGCGGGGGGGGAGGAAGAAGACAAAATTTACTCATAATTCCCAAGCACATCCCTCTCCACACACACAAGAAGGTACTTAAATTAGGAGTCCATCCAGATTCCAAATCGACTCCACTGCCCACTGTGTCATCTTGGGTTAGTCACCAGGGGTGCCCAACCTGTGGCCCGCGGGCCGCATGTCTCCCAGAATGGCTATGAATGCGGCCCAACACAAAATCATAAACTTACCTAAAAACTTTTTTTGCTTATCAGTTTTCATTAGTGTTTATGTATTTAATGTGTGGACCAAGACAACTCTTCTTCCTCCAGTGTGGCACAGAGATGCCAAAAGGTTGGACACCCCTAGTAGACCTTAGTCCTTCCATCTATAAAATGGAGATAATAGTATTTACCTCTTTTGCTGTGTGAAGATTAAATGAAACCTTGCAGCATGTGGCTCAGTGCTTGGGATATATCATAAAGCTGCAAGTTTCTCATTTCCTCCTATATTCACTTATTTTACCTGAGACGCTGTACTAGGCACCAGGGACTAAAGTTAACTAAGTAGCTCCTACCTCTAGGTGGCAATTGGGGGTGAGGGGTCAGAGCTAGGACTCATTAACTGCTGTGTGAATAGCGTCACAGGAGCTACGGTGCACAGAGACGTCCATTTACCTAGGTGACTTTTTCCTAAACATATTTATAATGTTTAGGAGCCCTGAACTTCGACCAAACCAATGGAATTAAATAGCACTGATAGACGCCTAGCAACTTCACGAGTTACGCCTTGTGCGCAGGCGCTTCCAAGGTGGTCGTTGCGAGCGGCTCCCGCCCCGCCTCTTCCGTCAAGCGCCGGCGTGGATTGGTTCGCAGGCTTCGTATAAGACCCTGCGCGCAGGCGCAGCGCCCCCTTTCCCCAGCTGCCGCTAAGGTGCTCGGTCCTTCCGAGGAAGCTAAGGCCGCGTTGGGGTGAGGCCCTCACTTCATCCGGCGACTAGCACCAGTCCCGGCAGCGCTCGCCCAGCATTCGTCAACACCATGGCCTCCGTCTCGGAGCTCGCCTGCATCTACTCGGCCCTCATCCTGCACGACGATGAGGTGACGGTGACGGTGAGTGGGGGCCTGGGACGGCGGCGGGGACAGCCTACGGGCGACAGATTTAGCCGTCCTCCTAGGCATGAGGGTTAGGTCTTTCCGGGCGTAACCGGGTCAGTAGACACCCCCGTGGCGGCTTTAGGCCGGGAGCCCTTCAGGTGGATCCACGTGAGAGTTAACCAGGGGCCTCGGCCACGTGCCGGCTGTTGGAGGGACTGGGTTGCATTTGCGGCTGCGCCCTCTATCTTTGAGAGCTTTTTCTTCCTTTCGGTAACGTATGCAGCGCGTAGATACCCTTAATCCACATCCACACCTAGTTATGTTCCAAGACACTCTCTTTTTGGTGTGACTTTTCTTGAATTTTTTCGGTTCTCTAAGTAGGCCCTGTGGAGCCAGGTTGCATGGTGTGGTGGAGAGCACATGACCTCTGGTCTGCCTCCCAGTTTTTAATAGTAACTTAAAATAGCGTGACTTGGTCAAGCCCCGACCCGTGAAATGGCCGCGATGAACTTGCCACTTTGCAAGATTCCTGGCACCACAGGAGCAGATGGCATTTCTTTTGCTCATGACAGCCTAAAAGAGTTGTAAGAAAATGTCGCCCTAAATAAACATACATAAAATAGATAAAATTTTGAAAATGGATAAACATGGTTTTGTACACGTTTTGAACGATTTATTTTCAATTTGAGTTATTTTGGAAACATTTAAGAAAGCTATAGTTTGGTTGCTGATGGATTGTCATTTTATTTGTTTTAGGAGGATAAGATCAATGCCCTCATTAAAGCAGCTGGTGTAAATGTTGAACCTTTCTGGCCAGGCTTGTTTGCAAAGGTAAGGTGAGGGTGGCAAAATGATTTGGAGGAGTAAATTTGGGAAGACCTACCAATTACTAAGTAAGGTGTTAATGCCAAACAACGTTCAAAAGTACCAGGAGGCCTGATATGCCACTGGGACAACTCTAGGTGATATTTTTTCACATTTCTATTTAAGGTTTCAGTTGTCTTTGTGACTTGACTTTCTTTACCTCAGACTGGTTTCTCTTCTGCTCTGAAACCATGGTAAAAGAATTAACCAGGTTATTCCTTCTTTAAGAGGGTCACCTAGGAGATGACTTTTATGCTATTCCAAGCAAATCCCTTTAGTATGATGGCATGCTTTAATGGAAATTGGGTGTGGTAGCCTTTGATTGACCATTTTAACTGTGTTTTAGAATAAGAGACAGGATTCCTACCCAAAGAACTTGGCTCTAGCTACCTTCTATTGCACAGGTATCTGAATGTCTGGCAAGTGAAGCTCATAGATGCTAACTATTCACCTTGTGTTCTGCAGAGAGCCTTGAAAAATTGAAAATATTGTGCCTATATCATCTTCAATAAATTCCCTTGGAAAAAGTCCTGGAATTAGCAGTTTGAAAATGAATTCACTGTTAAAAGGAGACATGGAACTGGAAGGAATCCTGGCTTAGGAAGCTTGAGGGTTTTTTGTTTTGTTTTTAACAGATTAAGCCAGCATTTGGCTAGTTGTACCTTATACTTAAATACAGAATGCAAGCATGAGATTTAAAGCTTGAGGGTTGTTTTTTTTATGATTGCTTATTTTTAATATAGCTGTGTGGGTTGCCCCAATTTAAGTTTTAGGGAATCTGAGTAGCAAACTGTTACTGGCAGACTCCAGAAAGGGAAAAGGAAAAGAAATACATATATGAAATTATATATATCATTATAAGTTTGAAAAAGGGTACCTTTTTTAAAATTTTTTCCTGGTAAGTACTATAACAAAACAGAACTGAGCATTCACCTGTGTGTGCACTTGTGTTGCAGGCTCTGGCCAATGTCAACATTGGAAGCCTCATCTGCAATGTAGGGGCTGGTGGACCTGCCCCAGCAGCTACTGCTGCACCAGCAGGAGGTCCTGCACCCTCAACTGCTGCTGCCCCAGGTAGGAAACTTTGTATGAGAGGGAGGAGTGGAGTCTAAAACTATTAGACACAAAATTGCCCTTGATTTACTAAGTAGATGATGTATAGAAATCCTAAAACCAGAAGCACAGTTTGAGGGAAGTTTGGGGGTATTTTGACCATGGAAGTTGAAGGGCCTAGGTGTCTTTGGAGTTTAAAATAAAGGCATGTGATTGACTTTTCTTTCTTTTTTTCTTAAAGCTGAGGAAAAGAAAGTGGAAGCAAAGAAAGAAGAATCTGAGGAGTCTGATGATGACATGGGCTTTGGTCTTTTTGACTAAATCTTTTTTGTAACACATTCAATAAAAAGCTGAACTTTATGGCTGCTGGTCTTGCTGATTGTCTGGGGAACTGCCATATAAAGATGATCTCACTTCTATAATGTTGGCTTTCAACCTGTTCTGCTATGACACAAGCTGGACACTGTACTAAGAATGTATGTAATATTGCAGCATTGAGAACTGCATGTGGGGAGGTAGGAGAAAGGGTAGGTACCTTGTCCAGATTACCTGTATTAATTTCATGATCACAGGGTTTGTCCTCCAGGAATGAATAAGAGGCCAGTGGGGTCCAGTCCTCAGAATTTAGAAAGCTCCTTTGCTAATTCCCAGGCACAATCCTGGCAGGGTTGGGGAAGTGGCATAAACTGGAAATAGGTTCACTTCTCAAAATGCCAAGGCACTATAGGATTTTAATTTATAAAACATTGCATATTCGGATGATGTGCCGGGCACTTGGAACATTCTGCCCTTAACTTTTATCTCCATTTAGAGAGGCATGGGATTCAGAAGTTGAAGAAAAATAGGGCTTTAGTCCCATTCAGCCCAGTGTACAGGACCATTTATGTAAGTCACTACAACCACTTGTGCAAGTGGCTATTGTAGCTTGTAAAATTGAACACCCTATAACTTGGTACATAAGGACATTAAGATATATCTCTAGGAATGTTCAGAGCACTTAAAAGTAGAAAAATCAGGCTTATCAGAAAATAAATGGTTTTAAATTACCAGCAGTGAAAAACTACAGACAGGAATTTTTGCTAATAGGTTACATTTAAAAAAACACGAGTTCCAGCCCTGGCTGGTGTGGCCCAGTGGGTTGAGCTCCAGCCCAAGAACCAAAGGATCGCTGGTTTGATTCCCAGTCTACAGTAGATGCCTGGGTTACAGGTTAGGCCTCCAGTTGGGTGTGCGTGAGAGGCAACCACACATTGATGCTTCTCTCCCGCTTCTCTAAAAATAAATCTTTAAAAAAAAAACAAGTTCCAGTAAATGACCTATAGCATGTGCCCTTTCATGAAGCTCCAAAATAAAGAGATGTGTTAGGCATACATATATGATAAAAGATTTGGTGAACAATTTAGGACCTTAAGTAAGGGAGGGTACAATGGGGAAAAGTGCGTAGATGTTAACTGTGAACTCAAATTTTGGCTTCCATGTTTGAAAAGGGCCACTGAAACAGTGAGGAATGTGTTTCAAAGATTGGTCCACAGCCTCAAGTTAAGTATCTATCTTCCCTCCCTCATCCATCAGCTAAGGGCCAGCACTGCTGATCTTTGTTCTTTTGCATAGAAATCCCAGGGTGAGGCCCCATGTCACAGACAAGTAAGTGGAAGCTCAAGGTTAACATGGGTGAGGTTACAAATTACTAAGTGGGTGGAAGGGCCCTGGCTGCTGTGGCTTTTGGAGCACTCACACAAAAGGTTGGGGGTTTGATTCCTGGTCAGGGCATGTACCTGGGTTGTGGGTTCAATCCCTGGTCAGGGTGGATGTGGGAGACAACCAATTGTTTCCCTCTCTAAAATCAAACTTTTTAAAAAAATTTCTCAAAAACACAGGTTCTGCCTCCAAAGCTTGTTAACAGCATCTCTCCCCATGCTCCTGCTTTCTGCCCTCTTGCACCAGTTTCCTCGTTAGCATGATTGTACCTACCTCACAGACCTCTGGAGAGGCCTGAGATAACATGAATTCCTTGTACTTAGCATCCATGTCAGTAGGAGGGAATACTGACACTTCAGCTCGCTGAAGAAATACTTCAGGTTAAAGAGAAAATTAAGATAAAGGAAAGCACAGCATCTAGAACAACTGAAAATCAAGTGGCAAATTGGGATATAAATATCAAATACAGTTATTCAAACTAACACAACTGCAGATGTTCACTATAGCAAAACAAATGTTAACATGGCCTAATGGGTTTTTTAAAACATCTAATATAGTAAAAAATCTAACACCTAAAAAAATAGCCCCTTTCAAAAGAATGATTTGATAATCAAATTAGGAGACCGCCACACACATATATGCTGACCTTTTATTCATTTTTATATTGACTAAAACTCTAGTTCCACCCATCCTTTAGTTTCTGAGTCTTGATTTGCTCTTTGCAAAACGTAAATAAGATGTCCTTCATGTTGGGGAATGAACAGATTAAGTGAGCATGCCCATCAATGATTGTTGGTATGTAATGTTATTTCCCTCTGCATAAGGTACAAGAAACACAGCTGGCACCCTTGGTTCCCAGAACCCCCAGGTCCAGCAGGCCTAGGTCTTATGTTCCTCAAAACTACCCCTGCCAAACTTCACAATCAGGCAGCAGCTTTGGTTTCACACTTCTGATTGTTTACCAAGCACACTTGCTATGCTGTGGCCACTGAAAGCATACTTAGTTCCGTGGCTGGGTGGCTGGCTTACCCTTTTAATGATTCTGCATCAGCAGGAAGACAGAATTGGGTGTAAAGGCTCTCTAATCCTTCTGTTCTGGAGAATTTGAGGAAAAGGCTGCTCACTGACATCTGAGAATAATTTTTTTTTTTTAAAGATTTTATTTATTAGAGGGGAAGGCAGGGAGAAAGAGAGGGAGACAAATACCGATGTATGAGAGAAACATCAATTGGTTGCTTATGGGCGCCCTGACCCAGACATGTGCCCTAACCTGGAATCAACCGGTGACCTACTGCTTTGCAGGAAGATGCCCAACCAACTGAGCCACACCAGTCAGAGCTAAGCACAACTTTTTAAAAATCCTAATAGTTACTGAATGTGTTGCACATGAGATAAGTGTTAAAAAAATCTGAAGCTCCTGTTAAATGTTACACTCTATATTTTTTGTACTTCTCAATAAAAAGTGATAGAGAACCACATATAAAATTCCATTTCTTTTTTTCAAATACAATAGAAAATTTATTTAGAAAATTACAGAGGTAGTAAAAGTGAGCCAGCTGAGTTGCATAGGCTCAGGAAACAAGTAACAGAGGCAGAAGAGCCCTTGGAGTTTAGGAGAGACAAAGGTAAAGGCAACCTGATCTGCGGGGAAGGAGGGAAGGAAGGGGAAGGCATAGGGCTGCTTCCGAGAGGGAGACTGCACCCACAAATGAAATTTTAAAACCACATTTTACAAAAGATAAACACTAATTAAAATGAAAGAATTCAAAATACATAAAGCAACGTAGTATATTGTTTAAAATTCAAATAAAATGTGTCAAATTGTTACTCATAATTTGAAGAAACATAACAGTAAAATTCAGAGCAAACAGTATGAATCAGTAGATTATTTTTTGTCTGAGTAACATTATGGTTTAGAAATAATTTTCACATGTTCTCCCATTCTGAACTTTACTATGTCAGTACAACATACTTAGCCCTCTTTATATAGACACTTCAGAGATACTGCACATTCAGTCCAGCCCACCACAATAAAGAGATCTATAATTTTTTTGCTGGTGGAGGATCTTGCCTTCAATTTGTAAAAAATACATTTGTGAAGTGCAATTAAAGCGAAGTGCAATACAATGCGGTATGCATGTATCAAAAAACTGCTCAGAGAGTTTGAGCGCCAGGTTCACACAGCCAGTGCAGGCAAAGCTGGGCCTGCTGCCTGAGTTGTCTCAATCCAGCAATCCTTCTACCATGATGTGGTGTCCCTTCCACACACACACTTTTGTAAGGTACAGTGGCCCTTGATTTTCTTTCTCTTGTCACTTTATAAGCCACTTCTCCCTTATCTCCTTATCTTCACAAACAAGCCTGAATAATTAAGCTTGAGACAGGCATGGGCTACTTTCAAGAGAGCACTAATATTGTTCTGAAACAGCAAGGAGACATCCTTCAAAGTCAAATCACAGTTACCACCCAACATGCATCATGGACCCGGGATTGTTCAAGTCGGATTCAACAATCTGGAACACTCGTGTCAGGACACAGGGTCAGAGACCATCACTTATTTTCACAGGATTGAAATAGTTAAGGGCTTCGAAAGAATCCCCCACATTCTACTCAATTCTACTTGCTGAAACTTCCAACCCTCTTACATACTTTGAGGGTTATTATGATGTCCAATTAAAATAAGAAATGTGCATCTTTCATCTTGCACTGCTATCCTCCCTCTCTCTGGGCCATTGACTACCTACCCCAGTTAAATTCTTCCAAAAGCCGTAAGAAGCCCACCCCGGGCTATATTAAATTTCTGCTCAGTTTCCTGTCCCACTTCTGAAAAGGAAATGTGTAATTATTTATCTATGATATTCGTTCAACTATCTTCCCTGTCCACACGGTAAGTTTGGGGATCAGGGCTGTCTGTTTTGCTCACCTGTATCTTCAGTACTTAATCACAGTGCCTGGCTCATTGTTGGTGTTCATTATATACTTCTCAGAGTCCAATCTCTCCTTTAACTGGGAAGAACATGATTAGCAGTCAGGGCCCAGACAAGAAAAGGAACTTGCTCAGCAGCAATGATTAGCAGAGCCAGAACTGAACACAAGTTCCTGGCCCAGAAAATGCTCTTTCCACAGTAGTTTGCTGCAGAAACCTAGCCTGCCTCAGGCCACAAGCCTCATCTATTCATGGAATTTCCATTTATTATGCACCTTCCAGGTTGCCAGGTGTGGGTGTTCAGGTCCTGAGATGAGAACCCAGATGAAAACGGAAGGCCGTGACACTGGTAACCAGGTCTGGCCTTACACATCATTTAATCTTAAACCCAGAGGACCTGGCTCCACAGACTTAACGCGAGAAAGGCAGGGGATTCCCCCAGGTGATGCCTATGCCAGGCCTTGTTGATGAAGGAAGAATTCTCAGCAGGTCGAACAGTAAAATGAAGGCGTGATATCCCTGAGCCTGTAAACTTCCTTCTGGACATGGTGACCTGTCACCTCCCCGGGAATGTGATCTTCTAGGATGAGGGAGAAGATGCAGGAAAACTCGGAGACTCAGGCCAGGTGGACAGATGAAGTGTTCTCAGCTTGCCTTGGCCTTTCATTAACGAAAAACTTATGCCCTGGCAAGGTGCTTGACAGTCTACCGTCCGCGTTCAAATTCTAGCCCGCCG